GCTGCACAGGGTGGACCTATCTCACATATCAATGCTGTATCGGGTAGTGATATCCCATATCAATGCTCTATCGGGTGCTCATATCACATGTCGATGCTCTATCGGGTAGTGATATCACATATCAATGCTCTATCGGGTGCTCATATCACATGTCGATGCTCTATCGGGTGCTCATATCACATGTCGATGCTCTATCGGGTAGTGATATCACATATCGATGCTCTATCGGGTAGTGATATCACATATCAATGCTGTATCGGGTAGTGATATCACATATCAATGCTCTATCGGGTGCTCATATCACATATCGATGCTCTATCGGGTGCTCATATCACATATCGATGCTCTATCGGGTAGTGATATCACATATCGATGCTCTATCGGGCAGTGATATCACATATCAATGCTCTATCGGGTGCTCATATCACATGTCGATGCTCTATCGGGTAGTGATATCACATATCAATGCTGTATCGGGTAGTGATATCACATATCAATGCTGTATCGGGTGCTCATATCACATATCGATGCTCTATCGGGTGCTCATATCACATATCGATGCTCTATCGGGTAGTGATATCACATATCGATGCTCTATCGGGCAGTGATATCACATATCAATGCTCTATCGGGTGCTCATATCACATGTCGATGCTCTATCGGGTAGTGATATCACATATCGATGCTGTATCGGGTAGTGATATCACCTATCAATGCTGTATCGGGTAGTGATATCACATATCAATGCTCTATCGGGCGGTGATATCACATAAGGATGCTCTATCGGGCGGTGACATCACATAAGGATGCTTTATCGGGTGCTGATATCACATATCGATGCTCTATCGGGTGCTCATATCACATGTCGATGCTCTATCGGGTAGTGATATAACATATCGATGCTGTATCGGGTAGTGATATCACATATCAATGCTGTATCGGGTAGTAATATCACATATCAATGCGCTATCGGGTGCTCATATCACATATCGATGCTCTATCGGGTGCTCATATCACATATCGATGCTCTATCGGGTAGTGATATCACATATCGATGCTCTATCGGGTAGTGATATCACATATCGATGCTCTATCGGGTGCTCATATCACATGTTGATGCTCTATCGGGTAGTGATATCACATATCCATGCTCTATCGGGCGTTGATATCACATAAGGATGCTCTATCGGGCGGTGACATCACATAAGGATGCTTTATCGGGTGCTGATATCACATATCGATGCTCTGTCGGGTGCTGATATCACATATCGATGCTTTATCGGGTGCTGATATCATATATCGATGCTCTATCGGGGGCTGATATCACATATTGATACTCTATCGATATTGCTGGAATATTTCTAAAAGCGGCGTAAAACCATACTCACTCACTCACTCAGTCACTTATCCACTCACCCATCTGCTCACTGATCCACTCATCCGCCCACTCTCTGACCCACCCAATCACATTTTATAAACAGCCAACCAATTAAGTTTCATGCAGCCCTGGGAAAGAACTCGGCAGAATCCTTTAAACTCCTACCAGGTTTCTGATTCATCCCCATCCTCATCTTCATGCTTAAGTGCTTCAGCGAATAATATCACACTTGATATTAATTTCTCCGTACTAACATGTAGAACCGACACCTATTTTAACCGGAGTACTCCAGACGTGAATAAATATTTGTGCGTATTATAACTGGCTTTGAAACGCTTCAGGCCTGTTCAAGACAGCTGTTCAATGTACAAACACCAGACACCACCCATGTAGATCCGATTCATAACCGTCTTACTACCTCAATACCAGAAAGCAAATGTTGAACGTTTCGAATAAATATATCTCTCTCTATCTTTAGGCGTTCCGTAAAAGTGGTACACAAAGAAAATGGTGACGAGTATTCAAAAATAATATTTCATGAAATATATTTGTGATGAACTACGTGATCACAGAAACGCTAAACGAATTTTATGCGTCGTTTATCACAAATATTTGACGGTCAGTATGTGGTCCACATTAGATGATATTAATTCGGTTTGATAAGCGCAGTCCATAAAACTCATCCACATCCATGGTCACTTGGTCAATTCATTGGGTTATACTTGCATTATACTATAAATCCAGAAAGAGTGGGGTTTGCTTTACGCCGCTTTTAGCAATATTCCAGCAGTATCACAGCGGGGACACAAGAAATTGGCTTCAACATTGTACCCACGTAGGAACTGAACCCGGGCCTTCGGCGTGACGAGCGAACGCTTTAACCACTGGGCTACCCCACCGCCCCAAATCCAGAAAGAAGGATTATGTCATAAATATGAATGATTGTTGTACCTCCTAGACGAAGTATCTTTGCAACCTACAACAATATTTCAGAACAGTTCTGCTATGTTGGGGTACAATTGGGCAACGCTCAATTTTTATGCCTGATCCAAGGTAAAAGTGTAAGGGTGTGTAATTGTCTAGAAGTTGATAACGTTCACATGTTGACAATGAGTGAGGTGTAGGTTTAACGCCGCCTTTCACAGTGTTTCCGTTATATTACGGCGTCTCATTTTGATGATGGAGGAAAGCACGAGCTGATGCAGGTCTCAGACGTTTACCACGAGCACGGTCATGGAGCTAACAAACCTCGAAACATAAACAGGGCGAACGGAATTCGAACAGACGGTCGTAGCATTCTGGCGTCCCTAAGGGACGTAACTCTGCACAGCGAATTACGGTGCTGGTGTCGGCACACCTACGTTACAAAATAAATCTGTATAAATATTGTGCCAAATAGAAACATGAGGAATTTTTTTTTATTATTTTAAAATAAAAAATATGCAAGTTTCATCACAACCTTCATCACGAAGGTACATTAATGGTTTGCCTTGTCATTGTGAGTGAGTGAGTATGGTTTTACGCCGCTTTTAGCCAATTCAATCAATATCACGGCGGGGGACACCAGAAATGGGCTTCACACATTGTTCGGTGTGACGAGCGAACGCTTTAACCTCTATGGCCTGGTAATAAGGACACGGAGACTGCTTAATATATAAAATGAGCGTCACACGAAAAGAAGAATGATATGATCCGAGAAAGCATATACAAACCTGTTCAGATGGCAGGAAATACTCCAACTCAAAACTGTGACACCCACGTATGTTTGTCGCCATAAAAAAACATCCCATTTCCGTTGCCGGGGACTCCTTCCACCACTGCCGTGTCTTAAAACACGAGCCACACGTCTTACAGCTGAGACACCAGCTGCAGTTGTAGATGTTCACACAGAACGCAGTCTCGGCAGGTTACCAAACGCAGCGCAACTCAAGCAATCCCTCCACATCAACTATCACACCGAGAAAAAATGATCCTGACTAAGAAGCTCGAAAATACAGCCACAAAAGACCCATGTTAGTGTTTTGTGCATTACGGTCTGTAGGAAACAAAAGGCTTTGAGTTATTGACTGGAGCCCACATTTGGAAACGGGGTCAGGTCCCTTATCCCGAAACACTAAAAGAGCCCATACACCATCAAGATACTATTGTAGACAGAACAACGACTTCGGCAAAGCCTGGACAACGCCATTTGAAAAGCGTGAATATACCTTTACGGAATATATTGTGATTCGAGGCAGCCATTTCACGTATCGTTTGTCCAAATTGAATGGCGATCGGGCTCTTGACAGATAGACTAGCTCTTTTTACATGTGCGTTTCTCAGTAGCCAGGTAGTGTTCTTTCTCTTTCCCAATACGCTGGAATGTTGCAAAGCTGAATAGGACATAAAAGAGTTTTTCTCCAAGCGCGAAATGCGATACGTAATACCCGGCTTGAGTCTCCAGCCATTCTTCCCCAAAGACCTCCAGTAACAATAGCCAAGACTATAGGCTTTGGGTAGAGAATAGCAAAAGCTTTTTCGTATTGTTCGAATTTAACTTTGTTATTTTCGTGGTGTAATTGTAGTACAGTCTGCTTGCTAAGCATTACTCCTTCGGTTAACACATTGTTCGTTGGAGCTTTCGCACACAACTTGTAGTGAAAGACCTACGAGATAATATAGCTATTCAGATCGGATTTGGGTTTTGCAAATCCGTTTGTCGGTTATGTGAATACACCCCAACCCTTGATTGTCCCATGATAAAGTTGACTAACAATAAACTCACTTAATCAAATTTTCCCATGGACTATCGGATTCTCTACCTATCTACTGAACGATTGTATGGGCACAATACATCATGCGATCTTGACTTCGATAATGATCTATAGCTTTCACTTAAAAGAACTTTCACAATGGTCAAAACTATATGGGACTCGTGAACGATTTTATATTCGCTGTCTATACACTGTTTAAGAAGAAGGACTGACAGCGTCTTCGGCGCATTCAAATTTATATGTTATGCATATTGAACATAAAAGTGGACCAAAGCTTCAAATTATTTGTGTTACTTATATGAAATAATATTGCCGACAGAGGGGAATTTAATGGAATTAGTATAACGGTCATATATAAGCAGTATCGTGAGCGAGTTGAATTTATACCCGCTTTGAACCGTTTTTTAGTAATATCATAGCTATGACTGTAGACCCGTCCATGAACATATTTACTTCATGTTATTTCCTGCATGGGGGTTACATACTCCCCAGGGAGTTACGAATGCGACTTTAATACACACTGAACAGTTGACTCGGTAATAAGGTCATTCAATTTAAGGACGTCTCTGTATGCTTAGGAGCTTGGGCTTCATAAAAAAAATCATTTCGTCTGGAAACCAATCCTCATGTAATAGCATTTATAAAACGTATGATCAAATGTTAAATATTCACAAAAGTACTGGTTAATTACGATATAACTGTTTAAGACCAACTAGAAAAACCCCATTTGTTGTGAGAGAAGTTATTTGCACAGACACCTGGTCGAGCCACAACAAGACAGGTGACTGAACCGAGACGTCATGCTTTCAGACTTCACTTCATAAAGCTAGTGCCAGGTACACGTCATTCACTGAAGCGAACAGACCTACCTGTACGTGAATTATCCAGTTTCGCTGTTTCTGTATCCGTATCTGTGCTGTATCTGTAACCACGTCTCCCGTGCAAGTATTCCAGTAATGCCATACGCTTCAGTCCCTCTCAAGTAACTTAGGCTGACCCCTAATATTACCGCTAGACCTGCACCAATTATCATGGACGTCCTCGGGAAATACATAGCCTGATGGCGATCAATCCCAAGGAACAGAGGTATTACGCCTTCTTGCGACATGTCCGCCTTTAAGTTTCTGGTCAAATTTTAGTAGCCACTTCCGGGTGTGGTCACGTGGGCGTTTGATGTTTGCATCATTAGTGCAAATGACCAGAGGGCTGCCATTACGGTTGGTGGTCAGTTGATGTGAAAATTTGCGTCTTCTTTGATGTTGTTTCACCATTGTTGATGCATATGGTTGCATTGTTGTGATGGTGATTGTTGATGACTTGTGGCCTTCCAGATGTTGTGGAAGACGTTTGTGGCAACGTCGCCGATAACGACGTAGACGGGTAGTGATTACCAGATGGAGAGTTAATGACGACATATAGTTCGTTGAAGTCTTCATTGCGATGTTTCGTCCGCACGCCTGAAAAATTAACGAAGGGATACTACAGTGAGCACTATCACAATGGGTCGTGTCACTTACACCCAGGACAGGGTTACTATTACAGTACATTATCGCAATCATATCATTGCCTGTCTTGTCCACGCGCCTGAAATATAACTTCAGAGTTAATGACTTAACACAGTCTAGATTATTGCCATGGGGTCATTCCTAAGTCTTGGTAACATGCCTGAAGAAAATAAAGATATAATTAAAATATAATGTCCTGTTCATTCCTAGTTAAAAGATGGTACTTGTTGTTACCCTGTCTGGCGCTCGACATTAAGGGGCTAAAACAAGGACTGGTCGGCTCGGAGTCAGTATACTGTCTGAAAGAGGTATTCATGTTAAACTGCGGGATGGTATCTCAGTGAGCTAGCACTATAAATCGGCATCAGTCCGGACTAGTACAAGCAGCCACACAAACACACACACGTGCATGCACGTCGCTATATGAGTGCAATAATCTTGGACACGACGTTAAACCCCATTTCACCCCACCTCACCTAGTTATAGAATACGCGACATATACAACATTAATACTGTATTTGTACTTTATACATTATCGTGACGGGAAGACTGCTTTGATTTGTGTACGCAAATGCCAGAGTAAAAATATCTGTGTTGTGTTGTCTGTGTGTTTAGCACGGCATTCACTTACTACCTGGATTGATATAAAACATGATAACAAACGAAATGGGATTTGAATGGTTTGAAATTTCTTCTCGGGTTGCCAATTGGCCCGAAACCTTTTGTACGTATTATGTCATTATGAAATCTTTATATATGGTGGCCCGGGTGGCCCAGTCGTCCAAGGCGCCGCGATTCGCTGTGCAGAGTTGCGTCCCTTGGGCACGCCAGAAACCTATGATTGTGGGTTCGAATCCCGGTTCGTCCCGATTATGTTTCTAGGTTTGTCAGCACTATACCCGTGCTCGTGGGTTTCACCGAAGTGGTCAACGTCTAAGACCTGCATCATTTCGGGCTTCCTCCCACATTAAGCTGACACGCCGCGATATAACTGGAATACTGTTAAAAGTGGTGTTAAACCCAATTCACTAATAAACTTTGTTTCGTTTTAACAAATGTTATATTTGGTGTAACACTTTGCCTGGACCAGACAATCCAGTGCTTGACATTATGAACATCTATCTGCGCAATTTGGATACGATGACATGCGTCAGCCAAGTCAGCGAGGTTTACGACAAAGATAGTGAGTGAGTTTAGCAATATTCCAGCAATATCACGGCGGGGGGGACACCAGAAATTGGCTTCACACATTGTACCTATGTCGGGAATCGAACCCGGGTCTTCGGCGTGACAAGCGAACGCTTTGATCACCAGGCTACCCGACCGCCCCTACGATAAAGATAAGAGGATAAACCTGTTAGAAAATTCAGATTATTATTGAAGGACTAACACACGCCCTCAGTTTGTAAAACGAATCAGAGATTGATAACATCTCTCCATCAGTAAGAATGACACTTTGAAGGTGTGTATTACTTCCCCTGTATCCACAAATTCATGCTATTCACAGACATATCTAAACCTGATATTAGACAATTAACCCTGACGGATACCAAGCACCATGGCGCCAGTGATGTCAACTGCTTGTCAAGAAGTGTTTTGGTAACGTTTCCTATATATTGTGTCTTCCAACACCATTTACTATAGAAAGCCGGTAAGTACCGAGCCTTCGTGAAGCCGTTTGAAGTCCAGCCCCAATTAAACAAAGATAGTAAACGTCGAGGACATGCGCAGACCATTAGGGGCCTGTTACAACCATTGTGATACGTGTGAAATATGATACAACGGTAATATTTAGATTCAGCGCCGTATGAAAAGGCGAAACTTTAGCCTAATGGGCAACTAGCGCTCAGTGTTTTATCGAATCATATAATGCTGATTCGTGTTGATCCATTATAGTATAATTTATATTGGTCTCCAGCTTCATTGTTTGTAATGGTGCTACGTATACATTGTGTATATTCATAGATGACGTCACAATAGAGAATGCGTTATGCACGTGCAACTTGATATACACATTGATGTCATTTGATACTAACTGGTGCATTTGGATGCTGAAATGGGAGAGAAATAGGTTGGGTAACGAAGGCCTGTTAGTAATTGGCCAACACGAGCTGCTTGAAAGGTACACACAGCACTCTCTTTATTGCTGCCACTCAGTTAATCAGGTGTTACGTTTTGGAAAATGATAGGCTTTCTGCTTAGCATTAGATAACTAGGGCATGACGTTATGATTTTATTTTGCATAATAACAGATCGATTGGTAATTACGTTTGCGAAGGTACTGCATGTTATTTGGTTTTCGTGGAACGTTTTTTCTCATTTTAATGTTACGGGTCGTGTAAGATTGGGCAGGGCATATAGTAGTGTGATTGTGTTATAGTTGCGTACATTGTGGCAGCACAGTAGTGTGATTGTGTTATAGTTGTGTACATTGTGGCAGCACAGTAGTGTGATTGTGTTATAGTTGCGTACATTGTGGCAGCACAGAAGTGTGATTGTGTTATAGTTGTGTACATTGTGGCAGCACAGTAGTGTGATTGTGTTATGGTTGTGTATATTGTGGCAGCACAGAAGTGTGATTGTGCTATAGTTGTGTACATTGTGGCAACACTGTAGTGATTGTGTTATAGTTGTGTATATTGTGGCAGCACAGTAGTGTCATTGTGTTATAATTGTGTAGTCTGTGGCAGCACAGCAGTGTCATTGTGTTATAATTGTGTAGACTGTGGCAGCACATACAGTAGTGTGATTGTGTTATAGTTGTGTATATTGTGGCAGCAGAGTAGTGTGATTGTTTTATAATTGTGTAGACTGTGGCAGCACATACAGTAGTGTGATTGTGTTATAGTTGTGTATATTGTGGCAGCACAGTAGTGTGATTATGTTATAATTGTGTAGACTGTGGCATCACATGCAGTAGTGTGATTGTTTTATAATTGTGTAGACTGTGGCATCACATGCAGTAGTGTGATTGTTTTATAATTGTGTAGACTGGCAGCACAGTAGTGTGATTGTGTTATAATTGTGTAGACTGTGGCAGCACATACAGTTGTGTGATTGTGTTATAATTGTGTAGACTGTGGCAGCACATGCAGTAGTGTTATTGTGTTATAATTGTGTAGACTGTGGCAGCACATGCAGTAGTGTGATTGTTTTATAATTGTGTAGACTGTGGCAGAACATACAGTAGTGTGATTGTGTTATAGTTGTGTATATTGTGGCAGCAGAGTAGTGTGATTGTTTTATAATTGTGTAGACTGTGGCAGCACATACAGTAGTGTGATTGTGTTATAGTTGTGTAGACTGTGGCAGCACATGCAGTAGTGTGATTGTGTTATAGTTGTGTAGACTGTGGCAGAACATACAGTGGTGTGATTGTGTTATAGTTGTTAAGACTGTGGCAGCACATGCAGTAGTTTGATAGTGTGTGTTACACACTGAATATATACACTGAATATGCTGGGAAATGTTGCCAGGTTATAAAATGCAATCACCTGATCCTAATTTGAATGTGGTACTTGGGACATGTTTTACCGCAGAATCCCCACTGGACGACAATGTCACATGCTATATTGAAGACGTGATTGTTCGTGCTGAAGAACAAACGGTTCCCATTCAGGCAAACAATGTTTGAAAATTTGAAATGCTACATAAATAATTCATGGTTGAAAAGTTGAGACATTCCGGTTATATTTTCCTAATCAATAATTATATATATAAACACAGAGTTAATAAAACAATATACATCAATCGTTTATTCCGTTCTAAATTATTTTTAGATTATTCTTCTTGACGAGGATACATTTGTGTGAGGCTACATAACCTTTTCACATTTTACTTCACACACGTGGTAAAATCAGTTCGGCTTAACAATCATGTACGTTTTTTGAGTAATCCACTTCACGGAGTAAACATATTAAAGAAACCTGACACGTCGTCATTTAAAACTGAACATATCCTTGATCGGTAGGAACCAATCTTTTCATGTCATTAAATAAATGAGAGGCTTTAATCCCAGAATCCGAGTGCTGCAATCGTCCTTTCATTCTATCACAACCGACCTTGCCACGCAGAAGACTGTCTCCCCCTGCATTGAAAATGACACTAATTTCTTCTCCATCCTTAAAACGAATCAAACACAGGCAAACAAACATACTTTGTAAGCTTTGTCGCGTCAGGTGCGGGTTATAAAGCATTCTATTTATTCCCTAAAACGTCAGAATGGAGGAATTATGACTGGGCATCCGACCATACAATTTCAGCCCTCAATAAAATTAAGATGAATTTCTATAGCAAACTGTTGGAGTGTAACTGCAAATAAAGGCATGAGTAATCTCTACAACGTAAAAACTCCCAAGTGACGAGGGGCGAATTAGCTGGCCAATTCAGACTCCATTTTACCTTATAGCGGTAATTGTTCCCCATACAATAGGTACCAGTGGAGAGAACTTCATTGCAGTGGTAACAGGGCTTATAACAAATACAAGCGTCTTGGCCGGCAGGTAAAAAGCAGTACACAATGGTGGTAGGGCAGACCTGGTACTAGGAGGGAGACGGAGTATCTGTCTTATTTCTACATCTTGAACAGCTTGTGAAAGCGTTTATAGCTTTGTAGACCGAGAAACACATTGGTGATAGGCACGGGAATGAATAATACATTTAAAGCTGTGTTTTGTATGGTATGGATTGAATACGAAGAGATCGTAGATACCGATATTTGAATCTGGATTTAATGCTGTTTGCATCCTGTTGTGCAGACGGAAAAGGGTGTCACACAAAGAGGAAACTTGTTATATTTGTTCGAATCTTGTACAAATGGACGATTCGTGGAATACAGTGAAATTGTTAGTGTAAAAACGTTTTAAAGAAGAGTTTATTTAATGGAATCATCCGTATTAAAATGTTCTTACATTCACATCAAGAGATGGATTTATCGAACAAGCCTGAAAGAT